TAAAGCCCTAGAATCCCAAAACCCTCTAAACCCTCTGATCCCTAAACCCAGCCCCCGAGCATCCTAAAACCCCAAGGAGTTCCCTCCCGAGGGCCCTGAGCCCTGTTACACCCTCAATTGGGGGCTATAGGGTTTAGGGTTTAGGGTTTAAGGTTTAGGGTTTAGGGTTGACCCCCAGAAAAACCTGGATCTTATTCCCTCTCTAACCCCTGTCTGTACCTGATATCGTCTAAAACAACCCCCAAATAACCACTGAAGTCCCTTATAAGGGTCCCTCCTTTGGTCCCTTGGCTGAAGCAACCCTCCTAGCTCTTGATGGGAACTTGGGGTTTAGGGTTTTAGAGTTTAGAGTTTTGGGATATAGACTTGGGGCTTTAGCCACGACAGCTCTTAACACGTTCATAGGAAATTGGGGGAATTAGGGTTCAGTCTATAGAGTTGCTTCCTCTTACTCACGGATTAGGGAACGGTTGAGGGTTTAGGGTTTAGGGCTTAGGGTTTAGGGTTTAAGGCTTGGGGCATAGGGTCGCCGCATGCACCCTATGTAACCAACCTTTTTCTGGGGAGGTGGGAAGATATAGTGAACCCACTTGTTAAAGACTTCCTGCTCGGGAAAACCGTTTGCTTATCAAGACAAGGCCCAAATCACAAAACCGCAGACCCTAAAAACCTAAACCCTGAAGCCTAGAAACCTTATAAGACGTGCAAGCCCTGCAAGCCCATAAGCCGTAAAAGCCCTCTAAGCCCCATAAGCCCCATAAGCCCGAAAAGCCCTAAACCCGAACCCCCATAAGCCCGAAACCCATAACCCTAAACCCTAAATCCCAAACCCTCAACCTCCATACGCCCTGTAAACCCTAAAAGCCCAAAAAGCTCTCAACCCTCAACAGCTATAAACCCTAAACCCTAAACCTTACACCCGAACCCTTAACTCCCATAAACCCTAATAAACCCTAAACCCCCGTAAAACCCTGATCCATGGGCCTCATATCAGAGTCCAGGGTCATGCGCAGCTGCACAAACTTGTCGTGCTGCGCAGGAACCTCTGGGTTTAGGGTTTGGGGATTCGGGTTTAGGGTATAGGTGATCATACATTTGAGCTGTGATCTAAATTCTTTCATCCCGAAAGAACCGTCTTCGCGAGACAAATAACTGCCGCAAAACTTTCGGGGACCCATCGCGATGCAGGTTTATGCTATTGGCCCAGACCAAGGTCTAGATCCCTAAGCTTCAACAAGGGAAATTTGAGCGTTGAGGGTTCCAGGCTTAGGGCTCAAGTCCAGAACCATACAGGGTCTTGCAGTTCCTTCGGCAATGGATTGGTTTCACTATTTCGGAGAATATGAATCCCAATAACAGCCAACCCGCACCTCAGATGAGCACTGTCCTTGGAATGGCTACCCTCGACGTATGCGGGGCTTACGCGGAACTTTCGCCCTGAGAACCGCTTCCGGATCCCCTTGGCTCTGCGAGTATTTCGGAGTCATCCGGGCAGTCCAGCAGGAAACTGAAAACCTGAAAGCTGCTGGCAATATAGAACAAGACCTGGGCTACGTAAGAACTTTCGCGAAAAAATGACTTGCGCAATCCCGACCCGGATCTTTCGCGGAGGCATATCTTAATGCCGTGTGGGTCACTGCCTACTACGTGCCACACAAGGACCTTTAGATCAACGCTCATTTCGAAATTCTCTTAGTAGTTTAGGGATTGGGGTTTGGGGTGGCGCTGCGGCTTCGTGGTCTCAGCTTCCGGGCTGAGAGGGTTTAGGGTTTAGGGTTTAGGGTTTAGGGTTTAGGGTTTAGGGTTTAGGCTTCGGGGATTCAAGCCGCGAGGAGAATGAGGCCCTCACCCCTGACCCGAAACCCTAGACTTGGGATGTTCACCCTTATCCTAACAGTCCTTAATGGGAACGATAGTAGGGGGCACGATAATCCCAATTAAGAACTGTCAGTATAAGCGGGAACATCCCAACCCTAAACCCTAAACCCTAAACCCTAAACCCTAAACCCTGAACCCTGAACCCTAAACCCTAAACCCTGAACCCAATCCTTAAACCCTTCACCGAGAGCATAAGCACTGCCCCCGATTGCTGCTGAGGATTCTGTGCGAAGGGTTCGGGTTTCTGGCTGATAGTATCCTACAGGGGTTTAGGGGATTAGGGCCTATCTATCGCCCAAAACCCTAAACCCTAAACCCTAAACCCTAAATCCAGGGTGTTAGCCCAAGCGGCAGCGGTGCACTTGACAGAAGGATCAGCGCGCCACTCATGGTCCTCGCAGGCTGCAGCGTGTTCCCGGGCCCCTGCGAGACTTCCCCACCAAAACGACCCACAAATGACAAAAAAAATGACAACACTCCAGCAAAAGTGCTCCGCCACGCTTCCGTCCCACCCTCCCCCCTTGCTTCCCCACCAAAACGCTCAAAACCTACCAAAAAACACAAACAAATACATGGCAACACTCCAGCAAAAGTGCTCCGCCCACAGCCCGCCCCACCCTCCCCCCCCTTGCTTCCCCCACCAAAACGAGCCGCAGAACCAGGATTGTGAGGTAACTCGGCTCACGTGACCTAAGCCGAAATTCCCTACAACTTTTCAAGCCTATAATTAGCCGAGCTACTAGTACCGCTCTAGCTATAAGGCGTAAAGTCTTATTTAAATGGTGGGCTGCTTCACGTAGTTCCACCTGCATCCCAAACTTTCTACACCCAAAAACCGAAACCCTAAACCCTCAAACCTAATTTCAACCGTAAGCCCCAAACCCCTAGAATACCTAGAGCCCCTAGAACCCAAAAAAACCCGAGAATCCCCTAGAACCCCTAAAAGCCCTAGAATCCCTGATTAGTAGCCTAAACCCTAAACCCTAAACCATGAATGCCTAGAATCCTTCTTTTAACCTGTGACTAACATCCTGGCTCTCCAACCAAAGGAGCTTAGGTCCGGGGCTTCGGCTTCTGCTTCTCCCCCATTCTCTGCAAGGGTTTAGGGTTTAGGGTTCAGGGTTCAGGGTTCAGGGTTCAGGGTTCAGGGCTCAGGGTTTAGGGTTGGGGTGTAGGTCGAGTGTGACTAACACGAACTGAACCCCCCCCCAAAAAAAAAGAAGGTGTTCTTCCTTATGAGGACAATTACTTCTTGATTTTTTTGGGGAATTCTTACGCAAATAGTAGTTCAGGATTGAGGGTTCAGGCTTGAGGGCTGCCAGGAAACCCCCCCGGCCCCGAGCCAATGAACCCTCCACAGAAGCGCGCGGTACGGAGTGCGCAAAGCCCTCAAACCGTCTCAAGCCCCAAGTCCATCTAAACCCCTGAAATCCTATCAGACTCTAAGACCACAGGAAACCCCAAAAACCCTAACACCCTGAAGCCCTAGTCCCCATAACCCCTAACGCCCAAAAAACCCAAAACTCCCAAACCTTAAACCCTAAACCCCTAAACCCCTAAACCCCTAAACTCCTAAACCCCTAAACACCTAAACCCCTAAACCCCTAAACCCCTAAACCCCTAAACCCCTAAACCCTAAACCCCTAAACCCCTAAACCCCCAAAACCCCGAAAAACCCGAAAACCCTTTGAAGCCCTGAGGGTCCCACCTGGTCACAGCAGACCCAAGAGGCGCCACAGGAGGAGGGGTCCGGGCCTGTGGCGTAGGGTTTAGGGTTTAGGGTTTGGGATTTGGGGTTTAGGGTTTGGGGTTTGGGGTTTAGGGTTTAGGGTTTGGGGTGTAGGGTTCAGGGTTTAGGGTTTAGGGTTCAGGTTTGAAGGTTCGGCCTTCAGGGGTGCGAGGGCCGAGGGATGAATGGTGGGAATAGCCTTGCATAGGCTAGGTAGGGTTTGCTGTAGGGCTTAGGGTTTAGGTTTGGGGCAGAGGGCATAGGGTATAGGGCTTAGGCCTGAGGGCTTAAGGCTTAGGCTGGCCTAGGGTTCCAGGTTTAGAGTTTAGGGTTTAGGGTTTAGGGTTTAGGGTTTAGGGTTTAGGGTTTAGGGTTTAGGGTTTAGGGTTTAGGGTTTAGGGTTTAGGGTTTAGGGTTCCAGGTTTAGGGCTGCGGGCTTGGTATGTTGGGAAGGTGGTTGGGCCACCCCTAAACCCCAAACCCCAAACCCTAAACCCCTAAATCCTAAACCCCAAACCCCCAAACCCTAAACCCTAAACCCTAAACCCTAAACCCTAAACCCCCAAACCCCCAAACCCCCAAACCCCCAAACCCCCAAACCCCAAACCCTAAACCCGAAACCCCAAACCCTAAACCCTAAACCCGAAACCCTGCTTGGCGTCCAACCCGCATCGCTCTGGCAGTAGGCCCAGCAGTGGCCCCCGTCGTCGATCTGTTTGCCTCGGCTTAGGGTTTAGGGTTTAGGGTTTAGGGTTTAGGGTCTAGGGTCTAGGGTTTAGGGTTTAGGGTTTAGGGTTTAGGGTTTAGGGTTTAGGGTATAGGGTTTAGGGTTTAGGGTGTAGGGTTTAGGGTTTAGGGTTTAGGGTTTAGGAGGTGGGCTTTGCTGGACTAAAGGTGTCTAAGGGCTTTAGTGTTTGTAGGGTTTGCGTGCAGGGTTTAGGGCTTAGGGTTTAAGGTTTAAGGTTTCGGGTTTTGGGGTGTAGGGTTTATAGGGCTTAGGGTTTAGCATTTTAGGTTTTGGCTTTCTGTTGTTTGCTTGTAGGGTTCTAGGGCTGTGGCTTTAGGGCATTTGGGGCTTTACGGTTTTATGGCTTGCCTCACAACCAAACTCGGACATGAATTGCCATGACATGCAAACTGACCTCATCATGGACCCTGGTGCCTAGTTGACCCACGAATCGGAAAAGCTGGAAGAGCACGACAGTGAGAGACACAGAGAGGAAAGCAAAGGAACAACGCAACAATAGATATCGCCACCAGGCTTCAAAAGTTGTGAAGTCTCAGGAGCAAGACAAAGACAGCAGGCAAGCAAGCAGTGCTGCCATTTTCTGATCTGATCCCTTCGGGAAAAGTGGAATGATGTCCAGGTCTGCTACAATGCTACAATCAACGATCAACGGTCGTCATCGTCATCGTCGTCGTCGTCATCTCCGTCTGTGTCGCTGACATGCTCTTCCTGGGTGGCCCGGCAACCCGATTATACTCAGGGCACCGTTTTTTTGGGGTTGGCTACTTTACAAAGGGAACCCCCTAAACCCTAAACCCTAAACCCTAAACCCTAAACCCTAAACCCAGAACCCAAAAAAAAGGGTAAAAGGGGCACCCCTGGGCTCCCAAGCTTCCGGATCCGTTTGAACGGCCTGGATGTCGCCAGCTTGGTCTCGGCTTGCCTCGACCTCATCCTGAGTTGTCCAGTGCCTAGGGGAACTAAAGGTTAACCTTTGGGATTCTAAGGAGATTAGATTACCCCAAAAAGGTTAAAGGTTATCTACTCTACTACTAAGCATCCCCAACTGCGCAGGCCGCATCGGTCAGGTCTTGTGTCTCGTCGCTGTCCTCCTTCTCGTAAGGCGAGCCGGACGGCAGCAACTGCGCCCGGCCGAGGAAGCGCAGAACCTCGACGACGAACTTGTGGCCTCGGCAGCTCAGCAACCAAACTCATAGTAGAACAAGGGCGCCCCTGTTTTGGGGGGTTGGTTACGTACCCTAAGCCCTAAACCCTAAACCCTAAACCCCTAAACCCTAAACCCTAGCCCCTTTTCTAAGGGAACCTTTAGAACCCCCAAAAAAAGGGAAAAGAGGGCACCAAGCCGGAAACCCAGAGGCAGTTCGCGTGCATGAGGTCCATGCCAATCCGCAGCACGGGCACCTGCATCTTCTCAAGCTCCGTGAGGTGGCTCTCCTTGGGGGGTTTAGGGTTTAGGGTTTAGGGTTTAGGGTTTAGGGTTTAGGGTTTAGGGTTTAGGGTTTAGGGTTTAGGGTTTAGGGTTTAGGGACCCAAGTGAAAATGCGCCCAGCAAGTGCCAGGACCCCTGTGAATTGAAGGTCTATGACCCCAAATGTCATAATTAAGCCCTTTGAAGGTACATGGCCCGAATTATCCTAAGCTCTGAAGGTACATGACCAAAATTATCATAACCAATAAGCTTTGAAAGGTACATGACCATAATTATCAGGATTAGGCCCTTTCGTAGGGCTCATTCTCATGTAGCCCCAAGGGTCGATGAGGTTGTCAAAGGCCCGCTGCTCTGCTTTGCACCCATGCAGACCGTCGCAATGGTCGGGCCAGCGACGGTACACTGAGAGGGCCCGCTCGGGGAGCGCGCGCTCGTACTTGATCACAGCCTTCCTGCCCAGCATGATGACTAGACCCAAGAGTAGGCTAGGATTAAGAAGGGTGCCCTTTTTTGTTTTGGTTCAAAAGGGCTTCTAAGGGAACCTAAGCCCCCCAAAAGGAGGAATAAGGGCCTACTCTGGGTCGTAGGTGAAGGACAATAAGGGTTTGGGAGCAAGAGCCCAAAGAAAACAGAAGGGTACCACCAAACTACCAAGCTTCTGCTCCACGCCCGACGTCTCCAACATCTGATAAAGGTCGGTCAGATTGTAGATTTTGTGGTCCACCGATCGGAGATCGCCCGTGGGAAAACTGTACTCCTGCTGAACCAAAGATCCGCGCGCTTGCTGGCGAAGGGCATCCTGAAAGGCCGGCAGGTTGTTGCCCTTGAAGGCGTGAAACAGCTCTCCAGCTCCGGTGAACCCGTAGTGGATGTCATGGTCGGTACCGATGTCATCCTGCCCAGGTGCCAGAGCTGCAGCCATGATCTTGCGGATGACCGGAGTCAGAAGATGATGCCCGGAACCTTCCGTGCCGATGAGCGACACGAAACGTATTGGGTTCCCCCTCAGGCGCCTGCCTGTTGCCATCTGCGCCAGGCAGGTCTCATCTTGCCTGGAATTCGGGTATTCTGCTCCTGCTGTGGCCAAAAGCAGCCAGGCCCACAAGACCCTTCTTCTCCACCATCCCATTGCAGTTAGGGCCCCCCTTGTCACTAAAGCTGATGTCGCTGCTCCACGCACAGCGCTGGGCCCAGGGAGCTGCGGAGGAGGCAGCGTGCGCAGCCCACAAATCCTAAACCCTAAACCCTAGACCCTAAACCCTTAACCCTAAACCCTAAACCCTAACGGGCGCGGTAGAAAGTGTGTCTATCGATGCATCTCAAGCGATACCCTAAATCCCTACCACCCTGTCACCGCGAAGCCTGAGCCAGAACGCCTGACCTAAAACCCTACAACCCTGAATGCCTAAAACCCTAAACCCTAAATCCCTAAACCTTGACTGCACTTAGGAGCCCCTAAAACCCCTAAAACCCCTAAAAACCTCCAAAAACCCTAAAGAACCCTAAAACCTCTAAAACCTCTAAAGCTCTAAAACCCTAAACCCCTAACCCCTAAAGCCCAAAAAAACCCTAGAACCCTAAACCCTAAACTCTAAACCCTAAACCCTAAACCCTAAACCCCTCGAACCTTCGACTTGCCATGCCGGGGCCAAGACTGATCACCCACCTCCAGGGCTGTGAGCTTAGGGGGTTTGAAGGGTTTAGGGTTTAGGGTTTAGGGTTTAGGGTTTAGGGTTTAGGGCTAGGTTTAGGGTTCAGGGGTCTAGGGCCTTAGGGTTGAATGGTCTTGTGGTTTAGGACTTAGGGCATCGAGCTTAGGTAATTTCAGGGTTTTTGCTTAGTGCTGTGTAGGGCTTTAAAGGTTCTTAAACAGGCTTGCTTCGTGGTTGTTTAAAGGCTGTTTAGGGGGTTGCGTGTTGTTTTTTCTTTTGTGTTGTTTTTAGGTTTCTTTTGAGAGTTTGTTTTCAGTTTTCTTGTTTAATGGTTTTAGGGTTGTCTAGGTTTTGGGGGCCTTGTAGGGTTTTCAAGCTTCTTTGAGGGCGTTCTACTGATGCGTTTAAGTTTTCAGGACTGCATAGGGTTTGCTTAGTGCTGTGTAGGGTCTTAGAAATCCTGTAGGGTTGCATAGGGCTTTACAGGGGGTAAGGTGTGGGGTAAGGGTTTGAGGTTTAGGGTTCTGAGGTTCAGGGTTCGGGTTTTTTGAGTTTAGGGGATGAACCCGCTTTCACAGTCCGATTTGGGGCTCAGGCTCAGGGAGTTCGGGGGTGAGTTGTAGGACTTACACCGCTTTTGCGTTTACGTTTGCTTGTGGGCTTCAAAATGCTTTGGGATTACCTGTCGGGTTTCGGTTTCTTTTAAGTTTTTCTGAGTACCGAATTCGGGAACTGGGTGCCGCAAATCCCGGTAAAAACCTTTGACAGAGGGATTATGCGGGGTGCCTCATTCCCGATTTCGTTACCAAGATCCACTACGGTGGCTGGCACCGCTGAAAGTATTTCCCAGTCGAGGGGCAGGATTCGATGATGGTCGATGCAGCCCTAACCACCAGATTTTGTCGCCAAGCCCTACTAAACTCTAAACCCTGAACCCTGAAACCTGAACCCTGAACCCTAAACCCTACACCCTAAACCCTAAACCCGAAACCCCAAACCCTAGCCCTAAACCCTAAACCCCTTGCACCGCCAAAACCTTAAGGATTCTCCGCAAGCCCGAAGTCCGGTCGAGCCGGAGGCTCCTGCTCTTCCCGCTGTGAAAGAGGTAGCCTCCACGCTCATGGGGGTTAGGGTTTAGGGTTTAGGGTTTAGGGTCTAGGGTTTAGGGTTTAGGGTTTAGGGTTTAGGGTTTAGGGTTTAGGGTTTAGGGTTTAAGGTTTAGGGTTCTGGGTTTAGGGCTCCAGGTTTGGAGTTTGGGGTTTGGGGTGCGAACCTTCGGCCCCTGAAGACTCAATCCCCTCGCCACTTAACCTCAAACAGCTCCGACTCCGAAAGCCTTCCGAAACCCCAAAACCCTAAACCCTAAACCCTAAACCCTAGCCCTAAACCCTAAACCCGAAACCCCAAATCCCTAAACCCTCAACCCCAAAACCCTAAACTCTAGACACCCTATCCTCAACCTTCAATCCTGAACTCTTAACCCTAAACTCCCTAAACCCTAGAAACCCTAAACCCTAAAATCCGTAAACCCTGAACTCCCTAAACCCTAAAGTTTCTAAACCAAAAACCCTAAACCCCGAACTCCCTAAAAACCCTCAACTCCCTAAACTCTAAACCCAAAACCCCCTAAATTCTAAAAAATAAACTCCCTAGACACCCCAAACCCCAAGGCCTAAACTCTAGTCCCTGAACCCTAAACACTAAACCCGGATCCCAATACGCCCTAACCTCAACCTTAAAGGCCCTAACTCCTAAACCCCTAAACCCGAGAATCCCCAAACCCTAAAAACCCAAAACCCAAAAGTCCCTAAACCCTAAACTCTCTAAACCAAAACCCTAAACCCTAAACCCCCTAGAACCCTAAACTCCTAGCACCTAAACCCTGAACCCTAAGCCGTAAATCCTAACTTCCAAACCCTAAACTCCCTAAACTCCCTAAACTCCCTAAACACCCTAAACCCTAAACCCTGAACCCTAAACCCTAAACCCGAAACCCGAAACCCTAAACCCTAAGCGCAAGCCCGGCGGCGCGGGGCCACAGCCCTTGCCACCCAGCAGGGCCTTGGTTTAGGGTTTAGGGTTTAGAGTTTAGGGCTTAGGGCTTAGGGCTTAGGGCTTAGGGCTTAGGGCTTAGGGCTTAGGGCTTAGGGTTTAGGGTTTAGGGTTTAGGGTTTAGGGTTTAGGGTTTAGGGTTTAGGGTTTAGGGCTTAGGGCTTAGGGCTTAGGGCTTAGGGTTAGGGGTTAGGGCTTAGGGCTTAGGGCTTAGGGCTTAGGGCTTAGGGCTTAAGGCTTAGGGATCCTGCACCCAGGACCATAAGCCCCTTAAGGCCCCACCCTCAGAGGTGTACTTTTTGAGAAGGGGGACAGACGGCCCACTGCCATGCTGACACGCTAAAGGGGCCACTGCGCAGAATTAGGGTTTGGGGTTTAGGGTTTAGGGTCTAGGGTCTAGGGTTATCTTAAACCCTAAACCCTAAACCCATTCCTAAATCCTAACCCCTAAGCCCTGCACCCTGACAGGTCTGCTTATACTACATGAGGGGGGGAGGGTAGTTTGGAGAACCCTGAACCCTAAACCCTAAACCCTACCCATATAGGTACGCTCAGCTGGGCCACGTTGGCAAGCTGCGGAGTTTAGGGTTTCGGGTTAAAGTGACTCTTGGGCTCTATACACTAGGGCTTTGTGAGGCTATTTGGGCTTGCAGAGTTTTTCTTCGGGTTTTGTGTGGTTGGGGGGCCTTAGGATTCGCGACACCCCTCAACCCTCAACCCTAAACCCTAAACCCTGCACCCTTATTGGGCCGCTTGGTGAAACCGTGCAACCTCCGCCGCATCCCCTGATGTCTGGGCCCGCGGCTTGTTGTGGTGCGTGATCTGCATGGGCTCATAGGTGTCATTGATCCTGGGCTTAAGGTGGTTTAGGGTTGAGGGTTGAGGGTTGAGAGGGGTTTAGGGGGTTTAGGGGTTTAGGGGGTAGGGTTTCGGGTTTTAGGGTTTTAGGGTTTGGGGTTTGGGGGTAGGGGGTCTAGTCATGGCGATTGTAGGCCTCCTATTCGGATCCCAGTAGTTGCCTAGACCTCCCTGAAAGCCTAAGCCCCACATTGCATAATCTAGACCCAAGAGTCACCTAGGAATAAAAAGGGCGCCCTTTCTTGGGTTAAAGGGGCGTATAAGTGAACCTAACCCCCCCCCCCAAAAAAAAAAAGGAATAAGGTCCTACTCCAGAGAATATGGACCCTTTGGTTATCCCAACCTGCAGGAGAAAAAAAAATAGTCATCGGGCCCATATTTTGGGAGCTGGATGAACCAGAGAATCCGCTCCCTCAGGTTGCAAGCCCTCTCGTAAAACTTAGAGCTTAGGGCTTAGGGTTTGGGGTTTAGGGCTAGGGTTTCGGGTTTAGGGCTTGGGGCTTAGGGTTTAGGGCTAGGGTTTAGGGTTTAGGGCTTAGGGCTTAGGGCTTAGGGTTTAGGGTTTAGGGTTTAGTGGGACAATTTTCTTCTCTGAGTCCAAAGAGCAGCTGGTTGCGGCCCGACCGGCCCGAGATTCGTATCGCCGTTGGCATGGCTCGTCCAAGCGCCTCCGGGCGTGAACCCCCTGTAGCCCTGTAGCCCTAAACCCTCAACCCTAAACCCTGAACCCTAAACCCTAAACCCTTAACCCCAAACCACCACGCTACTTGGGGCGAAGAGTTTAGGAGTTCCGCCCGGGGCTTCCTAGTCTGCAAGGAGCTACAAGCCTAAACCCTAAAAAGGCTTTAGGGCGTTTGGGTTTAGACTTCTTTGAGGGGGTTGAACCCCAAGCCCTCAAACTAACACCCTATATTTCAGCTTACAAGCTTGTATTTTGTTGCGGTGGCTTGTTTTTGTTACTTGCCCAAATGTGAATGCCTGAATGAATAACATATAATTTCCTTTTTGTTGTTTGCTGTATTGCTGCGCTGTTCTGTTTTTTGTGCTTCGTTGGTGCTATCTTCAAGTTGTTTTAAAGTGTTCTTGTTTATGTGTTGTTGTTTTCTGTGTTGTTTGAGAGTTTTCGTTTGCCCTAGATTTGTGAGTGACTCATGGAGCACCAATGAATGTCAAACAGAAATCAGAAGGTTAGCCACTTAGAACCAGATATGCTAACCTTCCACCCCTGAGACCCTCAGCCCCAAACCCTTGAAAAGAACCCTACACCCTACACCCTACACCCTACACCCTACACCCTACACCCTACACCCTACACCCTACACCCTAAACCCTAAACCCTAAACCCTAAACCCTAAACCCTAAACCCTAAACCCTAAACCCTAAACCCTAAACCCTAAACCCTAAACCCTAAACCCTAAACCCTAAACCCTAAACCCTAAACCCTAAACCCTAAACCCTAAACCCAGCCCACGGGGCTCTTGGCCCTGCAAGGCGCCTTTGAAGTGCTGCGTCGGACAGGCTAACGGCTGCCGTCTCTGAGCCAGAGCCGTGGCTGGTTTAGGGTTTA